ATATTAGCCTGGCAATACTGATTGAAAACTTCTGTCAGAGCCACTAAGAGACGAGCAGGGCGTTGCTCTCTCTCTGTTCGTTCTCTCACAGTGTTTCTCATTAAACATTCGTGTGTGCTGCTCTCTATTAGGTCCTGTGGGGTGTCTCCCCCGGGGTCTGTTGAATTCAGAGGACTGTGGGCATCTATTGTTGTGTTTTGAGTCTGAAAGCAGCTGCTCCTCATCAGTTCTGTCGACACTTCAGCATTGTTTCTTCCCACAGGAAACACGTTTAACCGCGTGACACGAACGCGAGTGACTTCGCGGAATCCAGTGCACGAGAAACTCAGATTTATGTCTGTTTCTGTCTGTGGCGTTCGTCTGCTTTTCATCACGCCTGTCTCTGTCTCCGCAGGAGGAGTCTGTGATAAAGACGGTACGTCTGAAGCAGGAGCACGTCTGTGTGATCGAGCAGCTGGAGCAGACCATCGAAGACCTGCGCAGTAAGATCGCCGAGCTGGAGAAACAGCAGCCCCTGCTGGAGCGGGAGGTGCTGCTGACGCAGGGCCAGGAGTGCGGAGGAGAGGAGCGCCTCCTCCCGGACGTCTGCCATGTGGACTTGCAGACAGAAAACACTTTGCTGTTGCCGCTGGAGGCCAAATCGGTGCAGACGTCTCCCATGGAGGAGAGCTTTAGGTTTAAAGTGCCTCCTGTGGAGGTGCAGGCACCGGGGAGGAGTGACTCCTCGCTGCCATCAGAAACTGAGAATGCTTCTCAAGCGTTTGTGTGCATATGCCAGCAGCTGCCGGGTGCTTCGGTGCATCCTCCACCACCACCACCGCCTCCTCCTCCATCCGGGATGTGTGCACCTCCTCCTCCACCTCCACTTCCAGGAATGAGCGCTCTTTCTGCACCACCTCCTCTCCCAGGCAGTTCATTTCCACCTCCTCCATCTCCTTTACCAGGAGTGGTTGCACCTCCTCCTGCGCCTCCTCTACCAGGAATGGGTGCACCTCCTCCTGCGCCTCCTCTACTAGGAGTGGGTGCACCTCCTCCTGCGCCTCCTCTACCAGGAATGGGTGCACCTCCTCCTGCGCCTCCTCTACTAGGAGTGGGTGCACCTCCTCCTGCGCCTCCTCTACCAGGAATGGGTGCACCTCCTCCTGCTCCTCCTCTACCAGGAATGGTTGCACCTCCTCCTGCTCCTCCTCTACCAGGAATGGTTGCACCTCCTCCTGCTCCTCCTCTACCAGGAATGGTTGCACCTCCTCCTGCTCCTCCTCTACCAGGAATGGTTGCACCTCCTCCTGCTCCTCCTCTACCAGGAATGGTTGCACCTCCTCCTGCTCCTCCTCTACCAGGAATGGTTGCACCTCCTCCTGCTCCTCCTCTACCAGGAATGGTTGCACCTCCTCCTGCTCCTCCTCTACCAGGAATGGTTGCACCTCCTCCTGCTCCTCCTCTACCAGGAATGGTTGCACCTCCTCCTGCTCCTCCTCTACCAGGAATGGTTGCACCTCCTCCTGCTCCTCCTCTACCAGGAATGGTTGCACCTCCTCCTGCTCCTCCTCTACCAGGAATGGTTGCACCTCCTCCTGCTCCTCCTCTACCAGGAATGGTTGCACCTCCTCCTGCTCCTCCTCTACCAGGAATGGTTGCACCTCCTCCTGCTCCTCCTCTACCAGGAATGGTTGCACCTCCTCCTGCTCCTCCTCTACCAGGAATGGTTGCACCTCCTCCTGCGCCTCCTCTGCCAGGAATGGGTGCGCCGCCTCCTGCACCACCTCCTCCACCTCCTCTGCCAGGTGTATCTGCGCCGCCACCTCTCCCGACTGCAGGAACAGCACCTCCTCCTCCTCCTCCAGGTCCTCCGCCGTTGGCTCCTGGTCCTCCTCTGGCCTTCGGTTTGGGTTCACCATAAAACAGATGAAAAAATACAGAGGAGGAACCTAAGCCACCTGATCTACAGACCAGAACACACTTTACATTCTAGTCAGAAAGAAAGCACCTAGAGCACCCTAGCAACCAAATGCAGTGCCCTAGCAACACCACCCATTATAGCATGACTCGCACGGTCAATATTAATTACTGTAAATGATGAACATGTTGATTTCAGCTGTTGATTTTTTTTTTTATTAAAATGTTTTTATATTTATAATAAATAATAATAAATTAACGAATGCTTAAATAATAAATTAACAAACATTTAATTTAATTTATTAGTTTTTATTTAATTCAGCAATGAGTTTACTGAATTGAATTTTGTTAAGAGTTCAGGAAAAAATTGTAATTCATTGATTTCAATTAATTGTCTATTCGTTCATTCATTCAAATTTTCTTTCATTGAATTTTCTTCTTTGTTTTTGTTTTCTTTTGTAGTTTTTGTCTATTTCATTTGTTTTGTTAGATATTTTTTTCATGTATTCATTTAATTGTCTTGATTGTTTGTTTCTTTCTTTTGTAAAAAGATTGCCGTGTGTTTTTCTTTTTCTGAGGAGTTGTTGATAAAGCAGGTCTTTTTCTCCTCTAAAGTCTGTGTTTTCCTCTGCAGGGACTCTCATGCTCTCGTGTGGGAGAAGATCGAAGAGCCATCCGTGGATTTTGATGAGTTTGTCGATCTCTTCTCCAAAACTGCAGTGAAAGAGAAGAAGAAGCCTCTTTCAGACACGATCAGCAGGTCAAAGACCAAGCAGGTGAGCAGAGACGTCCGCTGTTATGTCTGCGGCTCAGGATGAGGTTAGAGTTGGTACGAGTTTACGAGCACAACGAGACCGTTTCCATGACTGAGTCCTGACGTTTGTGTACAGACGGCGGCTCCTCTCAGAGTAAATGGCCAAGCGCTTGGCACCGCCGTGCACCAGATTCCAGCTCTGATTGGAAATATGACCGTAAAGAGCAGAACCGAGGCGCATAAATATCGCAAAGTGCTCCAAACGCTCGTGGGTTTATCAGATCTGTGTCAGACGTGCGTATGTGGAAACCACCAGCTTTCACATTCATACTCTCAGTCTGTTTCTGTAAAGGCTCGTATGTGGGAGTTTCCTCAACTATAGGAACTTTGTGCCACTGGATGGATTCCTGTTGAGCAGATCAATGTAAACAGATTTCAGCTTTTCTTTTTGATTTGTCAAGTATCTATTTCTATAGCACTTTATGCAATACAGAAAATTTTTTTGAAAAGGTAACTGCAACTTTTTTTTGCGCAATTCTGAGACACTCAACTGCAAGATATAAATTCATAATTGTGAAATATAAACTCAGGATTGCTAAGAAAAAAGTAGATATTCTGAGTTTATATGGCACAATTCAGAGTTTCTTAGTTGTGTATATCTTGTGTTTGAGGTTATAGTTTGCTATTTTGAGTTTGTTTCAGTTCGGTGTTTATATCATGCAATTGCGTTTATTTAATCCAATTCAGAATTTATATCGTCCAATTTGCAGTTTATATCATGCAATTCAGAGTTTATCTTAGAGTTTGTGTTTATCTTGCATGTTTGAGTTTGTATCACGCAATTGAGTTTCAGGGTTCCCGCGGGTCCTTAAGTCTTAAAAAGTCTTAAATTTGCTTGTATCAAATTTAAGGTTATAAAAAGGCTTAAATTGTACAAGAAAGTCTTAATTATGATTTCAAGAGGTCTTAAATTTGGGTACGGACCAGAATTGCGATACAGCTTAATGTGACAATTAAACTTCAAAAGGCTTTGATTTCATTAAATAAACATGAGCGCTGCAATTTTCAAAGTCAGGTGCTGCTCTGCTTTGTGTACTGCGGTTACCGGGGAAACGGTTATAGGTCTGCGGTTACCGGGGAAACGGTTATAGGTCTGCGGTTACCGGGGGAAACGGTTATAGGTCTGCGGTTAACGGGAAAACGGTTATAGGTCTGTGGTTACCGGGGAAACGGTTATAGGTCTGCGGTTACCGGGGAAACGGTTATAGGTCTGCGGTTACCTGGGAAACAGTTTATAGGTCTGCTGTTACAAAAGCGCCTCCTGCTGGCAGAGAATGAATGTGCATTTTCAATAAGCCTGTTGTGAGTAAGGTATTCCTGCAATAATGGAGGCTGTAGTTTCAGGACCACATTTCTAGGACCCTATAGTTTTTTTATTATTATTTTATTAATTTTTTTATGTATGTATCAGCGGCTCATACTATTTTATAGCACTTGCTATTCAATTCTGTATATTATTATTTTTAAGGAATTAAGTAGTTGTTTAATAGTATAAATTAATTAATTAATAAAACATACCCGTTGGTAACCCTCTTGAAATATTTAACCTAATTTATTTCAGTATATTCTATAAATTCTGGTTTTAAATTCAATTTTCTTGGAAAGAAAGACTTCGTGTGTGCGAGGTTATATGCAAGACTTCAGTTCATTAGCCGCAGCGCAGCTTCACGTCTGATGTGTGACCCACTTAAAGGGGTCATACGATGCTTTTTTAAAGATCATTATTTTGTGTATTTGGTGTAACAGAATATGTTGACATGCTTTAATGTTCAAAATTTTTTTTTTTTTTGGAAAGAAAGACTTGTGTATATGCGAGACTTCAGTTCATTAGTCGCAGAGCAGCTTCACGTTTGATGTGTGACCCACTTAAAGTGCAGTAAACGGTAAAACGAATGCAGTACAAATTAGTGTGATTATTAGTACTTTAATAAATGTAAAATAATTTGAATACAAATACTAATTTACAACATTCAGCAGCACAATAAACCACAGCTAAATAGACTAAATTGCTGACACCCCCTCGATTCGAACACTCAAATGCGGTCCTAGAACAGCCTCCGGTATTGCAGGAACATTGGGTTGTTTTTGTTCAGACCAATGCGAAAATCGACCCATGTTTTTAGCCTTCAAACACGCAGAGCTGTAAATGTGAACTAGTGGATCAATAAGTAGATAACGCATTATAAAAATCTAAACAGTAAAATGTTTATATGTTATTTAATTAATATAATAATTTGATAATTGGGTAACACTTTACTTGAAGGGGTGTGCATAAGACTGACATGACACCTTCATAATCATGAAGGAGGTTTTATGCATGTTTATGACAACTGTCATTAAGAGCCATTCACTAATTAAT